ACTTCTTTCAAAAGTGTACCCTAGGTGTCAGCTGAGACACTTCTGCTTGGCTACCTAATTACATTTGGCTCAAATGCAAGTTCTATAGCTTTCCCCGGAACTCCCCACAATTCCTTCAGTCTCAGAACTTACTTCCACGGGGTTCCCTCTGCCTCTAAGCTTCCCTGCAAACAGGAACAATTTCTCTTTTGTTCCACATCAACTTGTTTTCACAAAAAAATTCGCCCCCATCTTCTTGGTTTGTACTGTACAGTATGGGAGCCACTAGCCACACACAGCTGTTTAAACTTAAGCTTAACTAATTGGAATTAAACAAAGTTCACAATTCAACTCCCCATTCTTAGTCATGCATTTTGAGTGCTTGATAGCCATATGTGGATAGTGACTGCCTTACTGACGTCACAGATTAGGACATGTCCATTGACTTAGGGGATCCTATTAGACAGTTGTACCAGCATGTTAAGAACTGATTACTGAATATCTGCGGACTTAGGAGAGAGATCACATTTTAATTTTTATCAGAACATTCACTTTTATCTAAACATGTTTAATCACATACCACTTTGAGAAATGTACTATCTACCTATAGGGATATACTAATGTACATGTTTCCATTTGGAGTATTTTAGAAAGACAAGTTAAATCACCACATAGATGAAGGTTAAGTGTTTCAAGTGGGCTTAGAGCATGAATTATTCCAAGAGAGAAAATAAAGCAATTCTCCCTGACAAAGAAAAGAATGTTTTCTCCAAAAATATGTTCAGTGAAGTTTTCCTGGGCTGAGTGCAGTGATTCACGCCTGTAATCCCAGCACTTTGAAAGCTGAGGCAGGCAGATCACCTGAGGTCAGGAGTTTCAGACCAGCCTGGCCAACATGGTGAAACCCCGTCTCTACTAAAAATTTAAAAAATTAGCCAGGCATGGTGGCGGGCGCCAGTAATCCCAGTCACTTGGAAGGCTGAGGCAGGAGAATCACTTGAACCTGGGAGACTGAGGCCGCATAGAGCCGAGATCGTGCCACTGCACTCCAGCGTGGGCAACAGAGCAAGACTCATCTCAAAAAAAAAAAAGAAAAGAAAAAGTGAAGTTTGTCTCTGAAGGGGAAAAGAAAGATATGAGTGAGGTTGCTTGTTCCCTAGAACCTCTAGGTGAAAACATCTAAGAAGAAAAGAGGCAGGTTTCGAAGCGGCTACTTTTCTTTGGGTTGCTGGTTAGCTTCACTGTTAAAAATGACTGAGCATAAAGTGAGAGAGATGAAGGAAGTATGATCCCTGATCTGAAGTAGCTTAGTGAAGTATCAAGTAGGTAACCAGAAAACAGAAACTTTAAGTGCAAAGCGTGGGGTATGTGAGCGCAGCGGAAGACATCACTGCCGTCAGAGAGTAGAATAAGAAAAAGTCTCCAAAGCAACATTGTAAACCAAACCAAGCTGTCATTGTGGTAAGATTCTGCAGGACAGGAACCAGATGGGTGTTCAGTGTTTTCTCACCTCCTGACCCCCTCCCTTCCACACCTACACCCACATACCCGGATCCTTGCACTTAATCACATTCAATATTTATTGATTGAATTAATTAAAAGAAGAATAAACAAGCCCAAACAAGGAATGAGAAAAAGGACATTGCAAGCAGAAGGATGACATGCAAAAAGGCATGGAGGTGTGACCTCGAATGGGGTTGTTCCAGGAAGTACCAACATGTGGTGTTGATGGAGCACAGATTTGAGCAGATGGAGTCTAAGTGCTGGAGGCAAGAGTGACATGAAGGTGTAAGACTCAGAAGGATTTTCCTGCTATGCTGAAAGTCTTGGTGAAAGAGGGGCTCAATTGTAATATTTCACCATAAGTGCAACAGCATCAAGTTTGCATTGCCAAAAAAGTACTCTGATAACATATATACTTAAATTAATATTTTCTAATGAAGTCACAATTTAATCACGATCAGATCTTAGAATATTTTAACTTCATTACTAACTCTCTTTAATCTTAGTTGTTATTGTCTGGTATTTTTGTTCCTACTTGTGTTAAAAATAAAACAAAATGACTATTAAGTTTATTTTAAACATTATTATAATTATTTAATATAGTCAACACTTATTTCTTTATTGTAACACATCTCTTCTTCTGGAATTCTTTTATTTTTTGACAAAGGACATGCCTAAGAAGTAATTTCAATGAGTCATGCATAACAATCTGACTATGTTCTTATAATTTTAACATATCTTTATGTCACACTCTCCCTTAATGGTTGGTTGGATGGGCACAGAATTCCAGGTGGAAAGTTGTTTTCCTCTGCACTTTAAAGATAGTATTCCACACTACTCTGTCTTTTTTTTTTTTTTTTTTAAGGTCTGTGCCCAAGCTGGAGTGCAGTGGCGCAAACTCGGCTCACTGCAACCTCCGCCTCACGGGTTCAAGCGATTCTTCCGCCTCAGCCTCCCGAGTAGCTGGGACCACAGGCACGTGCCACCATGCCCAGCTATTTTTTGTATCTTTAGTAGAGACGGGGTTTCACTGTGTTGGCCAGGATGGTCTCGATCTCTTGACCCCGTGATCCGCCCACCTCAACCTCCCAAAGTGCTGGGATTACAGGCGTGAGCCACAGCGCCCGGCCACACTACTCAGTCTTAAAAGGAATGAAATAATGGCATTTGCAGCAACCTGGATGGAATTGGAGACTATTATTCTAAGTGAAGTAACTCAGGAATGGAAAATGAAACATTGTATGTTCTCACTCATAGTTGGGAGCTACCAGGATGCAAAGGCACAAGAACAATCCATTGGACTTTGGGGACTAGGGGGAAAGGGTCGGGGGTGGTGAGAGAGAAAAGACTACGCATGGGGTATAGTATACACTGCTTGGCTGATAGGTGCCCCCAAATCTCAAAAATCACCACTAAAGAACTTATTCATGAAAACAAATGCCTATCAAAATAATAAGTAAATAAATGCCGCTGGTGTTGGAAAGCTGCCTGGCTTCCACTTTATTTCTCCATCATGGTGCCATCCTCATCCTTGTTACTTTGAAGGTGACCACTGCTGACTTGGGGCTTTGGGGATTCTCGCTTTCTACATTTCATGTATGGTGTGTCTATATGTAGACCTGTTTTTATACTTAATTTACTTAGTATTCAGTGGACGTTTTTTGATTCAGATATTTTTCTGGTCCTTAATATTCTTACATCTCAAAGGTTTATGTGAGTCCTATCGATGCCCTCATTTGGAGCTAGTCAACGTAAGGGTTCAGTGAGAGACCTCTTAAAAGTCCTATGAACATCTAGTTTTCTCATCTATTCGACTCTCTTCCCTCTCATCTCAAGTCTTTACATCTACATAATGGCATGGAGGTAGCAGAATTAGGATTGGTTTGGCTGGCAGAAACACAGGACTCCTATCTAATCACACATTTTGTCAAAACTTTTCTGTCTCCCATCTGAACCAGGGCTTCTGAAGTTGAAAGGCTTGGAGTTAACATCTTTGTACGCCATTTTGCCAGGAAGCAATGATGATTCCCATCCAGCTGCCTAAAGAGAAGGAGGTTTGTACGTGAAACAAGTAGGGCAGCAAATAAATCCATCTAGCAATACCATCGTTCCATGTACAGATTAGGAACCTGAGGATCCTAAAGACTTTAAATCTTTATATAATGGCATGGAGGTAGCAGCATGAGCGTTGGGATGGCTGGTAAGAACACAGGAGATCTATCTAATCTGAGGCTCCAAAAGGCTCAGTAGCATGCACAGTATCACACAGTGAGAGATCAGCAGAATGCAGACCTGACCCAACAGCCATAGGAGGCCAAGCCGTGTGCTGTTCTCCCAGAGCATCATCAGAATGGGAAGATTCTTTAAAATGTCCTTTATAAACCATGAAAGCATTACTTTCTCGTGTCCTACCATGAATTTATGCATATGATGAAAAAATCTAACAGCGAAAGCTGAGTAGCATGTTTCAAGCAACATTGAGCTGGCAGCAAGGAAGCTGGCTTCTGATATCAGCTTCACCCACAACTGTCTGTGCATTAAACTAGTCACAGTGTTTCTCTAGGCCTGTTTCCTCACCCATAGAGAAAAAGGGTAAGATTCGATAACTACCATGGTCCCTCCCAGACTCAAAATTTCCAGACATAAAGGTCCTTTACAGGCTTAAATCTGTAGTTTGAAGCTGAGTCATCTCTGGCACCTACAACCTAATCCTTTGCCATCTATACGGGAAAAGAAAATCTTGTTACTCTTTTCAAATAGCCTATTTTTCAGTAGGACTGTGTTTCAGCAAACAGCTAAATTTGGAGTTAGAAGGCCTAGGTTCAGCGTCCAGGTCCTCCACTGCTGACCAGCGCTGTGAACCTCGGAATGCTTCTAATCTCTCTTAACGTTGGGTTTCTTGAGTGTGTAATGGGGATGTCTGTCGTATGCTGCTCACAAGGCTTGTGTTAGCATCTTATTTGATGACTTGAGTGAAAACATTGTATTTTAACACATTCTGTTGACATAAGCTATTTTGACATGATCGCCCTTGTTTCACAGGAGAAGCTCAAATAGTTGATATCTGAGGAAACTGATGCATGCTGAGTGAGAGGATTCGGTGCTTTAGGAAGGAAAATCTGTGTGTGGGCATCAAGTCACACCGCATGGGTCATAACCTGTGCCTGATCCTGACAGAGAATCCTTCTAGAAATAAGAGAGAAATAAAGGAAATTCACAATACCAAGGGATAAAAAGAGAGCCAAGAAAAAATAACATAAGGGGAGAGGAAGATGGGCTTATAACAGATTACAGGATCTTGTCAGCTTTACTAACAGGATGTAAAGAAAAGATTCTGTTTGCACACAGGGAGAGGTTCTTCTCCTGGCTAGTCAAAGCACATCTTACGCACATTCACAAACCATCTCACAGATGATTCATTATTTTCACTGTAGATAAGGCTTTTATGAATGGATTATTTTTCTCAGATAATGGCTTTATGATTAAAGTAAAGATTATTAATTCCTGAGGCAAGAAGATATAAGAGCTCGGGAAAGTTTGGCTGGAACCACTGGAGACGCTGAAGAAGGCGGGGTCCTCAGAGTCTTGGCTGCAAAACAGGTATCATCCTTGCAATTGATGATGGAGGTCTTTCTTCAAACATCCTTTTTTCCCTGTCAGCTATGAACCAGGCCAGAAATGACAAATCATATCTCTAGAGAGGCTTGTCAGGCTTTCTGTTGTTGTATCATTTGATTTAAATTATTTACCTTCTTTTCTTCCCCTACTGTAAAGAGCATTGGCTTTGGGGTTAAACTATCGAGTTAAACCTTGGCTCTGTAGTCTGGTAGCTGGGAAACTTCAGAAAAGTTACTCAATCACGAGTGTCACTGTCTTCATCTGTAACGTGTTTATGAGACCTACAATTCAGCTTATTTATGAAGATGACACATAGGCATTTGGTGAATATCAGCTCACTAAAAATTATTCTCAGATTAAGGCCGGGTGCAGTGGCTCACACCTGTAATCCCAGCACTTTGAGAGGCGTAGGCGGGCAGATCACTTGAGGTCGGGAGTTTGAGACTAGCCTGGCAAACAACAACAACAAAAAAACAAAATTATTCAGCCTCTCCCTTCGCCCAGAATGGTCATCTTGACAGAGAAATTCTGCGTTTTAAAGAGGTTTCAGGACATTGAAAATACACTATTACCTTTGGAAGGAAAGTTTGGCAAAGTGCAAAGTTTACACAATGATTTAAAAAGAGGTAAGGGGTGGAGAAGTTCACATCCACACTCTTCAACCTTTGTCTCCTTCTTGATTACCCTTCCTTAAAGTGTTCCTATGGACCTCAGAATCAATTTTCCAGAAAAGTCATCATTTACGTCATTCTCTTAAGCAATCCATTATTTGAGAGTTAGATTGTGTACCTTGACTTTTTAATCATAAAGTATGATTAAATGTGAATTCAATGAATTACTCAGTTTAAGAATTATTTGGGAGGGAAATCCAGAACTCAATTTCATGCTTATACTAAAACAAAGCCCAGACAAATAAAAATAGGAGGAAACATTGATAAACACTTTAACCTTATGCCTGACAGTAATGGCCAGTCTTTTAATATTAATTTAAAAATTATTTTAAAAACATAAAAATAAATATATTAATTATGAAAATTTCAGAATGGCAAGAAATTAAAATAAGAGAAAAATACAAACTGACTAATACTGCTAGTAGCATGTGAAAGACAATAAACATACAAAAAGGATCTCACAAATTGGAAAAAAACAATAAAATAGAAAAATGTGCAAAACTGTAAACTGAAAATTAACCAAATACAAAAAGCAAATTATTGTATAAAAAGATGTTCAACTTCATTAGTAATTATAACAAATTTTAAAACACCAAGCTTCTTCTTTAATATACCAAAGTTAGCCAAAATTTTGGCAAAATTAAGCATTCACTGGGAGCTTAGGGAACCAATTATTTTAGTGTTCTATTAATTAAAATGTGCATGTTGTGTGATGCCACAACCCTCTGTATATGAGAATTTACACGAAGGAAAAATAAAAAATGCATTAAAGTTATGTGAGTGCAAGAAAATATATTACAATCAATCTGTTTCTGAGAAACGAAACCAGGTTATGGACTATATGATCTTATTTGTATAAAATTGTACACAGAAAGAGGTGCATGGAAGGAAGTCTGTAGGCTACTCACCAAATTATCTATGTCCTGGAGATGGGATTTACTACTTATTTTCTGGTTTTGCATTGATTTGCTAATAGCTCGTGTGTCGTTTGCTAATGGGGGAAAAAATAAAGCCATTTATTTTTTAAAAATGATGTCAACTAAGTGTAAAGGAAAGAGTGCTGATGGAGTCAGATCTGCTTGTAGCTGGTGTCCATGAATGAATGACTTCATACTTACTGACCTTAGGTTTTCTCATTTGTCAAAGGTGGGTATTCAACATTGTGCTCATGTTTAATTCAAACATTTAAAAATTCAGTGTCAGAACCACTCTATTGGATTTTCTTTTTTTTTTATTTTATTTTACTTTAGGTGTATAGCATTTCAAGCATTTTTCCCCATGTTATCGCTCCCCACCCTCCCCACCCACCTTGTCCCTCCCCTACCCCCCCAACTGCCCCCAGTGTGTGATGTTCCTCTCCCTGAGTCTACATGTTCTCATAGTTCAACACCCACCTATGAGTGAGAACATGTGGTGTTTGATTTTCTGTTCTTGTGTCAGTTTGCTGAGAATAATGGTTTCCAGATTCATCCAAATCCCTACAAAGGACACAAATCCATCGTTTTTTATGGCTGCATAGTATTCCATGGTGTATATGTACCACATTTTCTTTGTCCAGTCTATCATTGATGGGCATTTGGGTTGGTTCCAGGTCTTTGCTATTGTACACAGGGCTGCAATAAACATACTTGTGCGCGTGTCTTTATAGTAGAATGATTTATAGTTCTTTGGGTATATACCCAGTAATGGGACTGCTGGGTCAAATGGAATTTCTATTTCTAGATCCTTGAGAAATCGCCACACTGTATTCCACAATGATTGAACTAATTTACACTCCCACCAACTGTGTAAGAGTGTTCCTATTTCTCCACATCCTCTCTAGCATGTGTTGTCTCCAGATTTTTTAATGATCGCCATTCTAACTGGAGTGAGATGGTATCTCAATGTGGTTTTGATTTGCATTTCTCTAATGACCATTGATGATGAACATTGTTTCATATGTTCGTTGGCCTCATGTATGTCTTCTTTTGTAAAGTGTCTGTTCATATCCTTCACCCACTTTTGAATGGGCTTGTTTGTTTTTTTCTTGTAAATCTGTTTTAGTTCTTTGTAGATTCCGGATATTAGCCCTTTGTCTGATGTGTAGATTGCAAGAATTTTTTTCCCATTCTGTTGGTTGCCGGTTTGCCTTTATGATTGTTTCTTTTGCTTTACAGAAGCTCTGGAGTTTAATGAGATCCCATTTGTCTATCTTGGCTTTTGTTGCCATTGCTTTCGGTGTTTTGGTCATGAAGTCCTTCCCTATGCCTATGTCCTGAGTGGTTTTGCCTATGTTTTCTTCTAGTGTTTTTATGGTGTTAGGTTTTATATTTAAATCTTTAATCCACCTGGAGTTCATTTTAGTGTAAGGTGACAGGAAGGGGCCCAGTTTCTGCTTTCTGCACATTGTTAGACAGTATTCCCAACACCATTTATTGGATTTTCTTGATGACAGAAAGCCCATCACTGCCTTAGCCATGAGGAAACTTGCCTTGGGCACCCTCTGCTGGCTCTCCTGAAGCTATCAGGGGTGAGTGCTCAGTGGTTTATAAATTGCTTGCATTCAGACTATGAAACTGTTCAGCCTGCTATAGTCAGATCTCTGGCACTGGCCCAGGAGGTCTTGAAAGTGAGAACAAAATCTCTTAAAATTTTCTAACCTGTACATCTAACTTGAGATTCCTTTAAAGTCTGGATTTCATCAGGAAAATACTGTATTCTTTTCCTCCATGTGTGAGTTAGCATTTAGATTCCTGGGTCCCTCTCACCTGTGCAAATGTGTTCAGATTTGCAGATCAAGGAAAACCCAGGAGTTTCAAAGACGTGCCAGTAAGAACTCTGAGATCCTTGCAGTAGCCACATCCTTAGGGAAGGAAGAAGATGACTTCTAGAAGCATGAGGCTGCTCCTACTACTGAGCTGCCTGCCCAACGCGGGAGTCCTGAGTGGTGAGTACCCATCACTTAGCTAGAGCTGAGCCATGGCCAGTGTTCACTCAGCCCACGTGGGACAGCCATCCATTCGCCCACAAAAACATTAAGGCCCTGTAGGAAAAATATTTTAAAACATAGAGATAAAAAACGAAGATAGGTACTCAAAAATTCAAGGACTCGAAAATCCAACAAAACCCAATTCTCTATGGTTGTAAACCATACTTAAATCATTGGTTAAGTGTAACTTATAATATTAATTTTGCAACTTTATTGTGAAGGGCAGAGATAATGTGTTTAAAACCCTTGATGCCTAATAGACTGTCAATAAGTCATAGCCATAATTAGAATTCCCCAGGGTTATCATGAAGGGTATTGTGACAGGGTTATTATGAAGATGATTAGAATTCCCCAAAGCTTATGCACTGGTTTATCATTTGAGCATTATTAGGGATTCCAGTTTGCAGGGGACCTGCAATCTAGTTGGAGAGATGGCTGTTACACACTTACAGACCACACATCAAGTGCAGAGTAACATGGTAACAAAGTGAGTAGTAATGCTGTGGAATCCACCAACAGAGAAAGCAGGGGAGGAACACTGTATGAATGATATAAGAAGCAATGTCACAGGAAAACTTCTAGTTTAGCCTGAAGGGCTCAGGCTAAACTAGAAGTTTTCCTGGAGATGTTAATGGATATGTAAAAATAGTGGGTGAAACTGACACTTTCTAAACCCCTCTGACAAGATCCAAACCAAGGGTTGTGAGAAAAATTAAGTTATTCTGGGATTGGAAGACTTTCAGCTATGGGTGGGTAAGCTGACTGGGAGACAGAAAACAAAAGGCCAAAATAACAATGTCTTTTGACAGCAAATTCTACTACAGGACATGTCTGGAATTTCACCTGGTTATAAATGATCTGAAAAGTCAGGGGCATTTAGTGAAATTGAGTTTCTAATTCATACAGCAAGTATTTATATAGAATCTATGTACTAAGCTTGGTTTGGCAGTGGAGCATTTTGGCTGAAAAATACGCTGCCCCTCTTCGGAAGGATTTTATAGTCAGGTTGAGATGACACAATGTAGAGTCACACATGAAGAGGGCCACTCAGTGTCATTTCATTCGTGAGCTGAAGCCAGGGGAGGAGCAGACAATATGGTACATTAGTGAGGAGAGGAGGATGGGCAGGAGGTTTCTGAGGGAAAGCAACACTGAAGCTGGTCCTAAAAGACTAGATGTTGGGACTTTGGGGGGCTTAGGGAAAAGAGTGGGAAGGGGGTGAGGGATAAATGACCATGAATTGGGTTCAGTATATACTATGCTCGGTCGATGGATGCACCAAAATCTCTTAAATCACCACTAAAGAGCTTACTCATGTAACCAAACACCACCTGTTCCCCAAAGACCTATGGAAAAAAAAAAAAAAAAGAAAGAAACAATGTCACAGAATACCAGGAATAGAAAGCAGTGAAATGTGAATTCATCTGGTGTAAGGTCTTCCTTCTATTTACAAGGAAAATGAAGTCCAGAGAAAGGTAGAGATTTGCCCAACGTCACACAGTAAGACTAACTGATGCTTGGATTTTAGTGCTTTTCACAGTCCCATGTGGCCTTGCTGGGCATTGGACATGTAAGAGTGAGGGAAGAATCCATGCTTGAGTGTCTCCTCTGTTGAGAAGAGGGCTTCCAGAGGGGTCCAGTGCTGTCTGTAACTTAGCACTGCTCCTCCTGAGGAATGTCCTCAGCCAAGGGTAGGATGATTTGGAAGGACATATGAAGAAAAGCAATGTCCTCCAGGCATCATGTTGGCCCCTATAGCTGAAGTCTGTGGTCCTGATCATAGCTTATCCTTAATATGTCCTCCATGGCTCTTTGCCTTCAACCCTACACCAGTTCACTCAACTATCTCAGGTGGCTCAGGACCTGTGGAACTCAGCCATGCAAGAAAGTGCAAGTCTCTGGGGGGCCACTCTTGAGCCCCTCCTACAGAACTGCCTTATGTGGTCATTTCTAAGTGGCCAGGTGGTTCCCTGCAACCTCAGGCTTCCTTCATGTAACTTGAAATCTGCCCAAGCTATGTCCTGGGGAATATGATACAACCCTCTTCCCATCCCTGGGATCTCACTAACCTTTCTGGCTTCTCTCCGGAGGAGGAGATACAGACACGATATTCACCACAGCTCCTTCAATTTCTCTTTTCCGGGTAGCTCTTTCTTCCAGCTCTAGAAGGACTTTCTACTTATTCTTAATATCTTGGGGGAGCCTCCCTTATGATATATCCTAAATGTTTTTTGCACTGCGATACTTAAGAGAAATAGAGGGGATTTAGAAATTAATTTTCTCTCTCAGCAAAACCTTGCGGCAAACATTAAACTCTGATTGCTTCCACAGTGATTTCTTTGCCCTGATAGCTGCCCTTCCCCTGAAGCAATCCATGCCAGTGATTCAGCGAGGGGAGACATACGGCTTCATCATTTATGGGCAGTAAAAAACTTCATCTGGCTTATATTTTCAAAAATATTACATAATAATGATAATGGGTTTAATAGCTTCAAGTTTTAACTCGCTAGTGTTTATTGAACAATTCCTCTACACTAGGCTCTGTGCTGATCACTGTTCATGAATTGTCTTAATCCTCCTGACAACTGTGTGAAGGCGTAATTGTTGATCCCACTGTACAGTCACGAAAAGTAAAGCTAAAAGGGACTAAATGACATTCCTAAGGTCACACATGCAATAAGTGATGGAGTACAAAGAGGATTAGAGTGGTCCAGGCAAGATGCTAGAATGTGCAGAGACGAGGGGATGGAGCACCGTGTGAGGTGGGGTCAAGGTTCTCAGGCCACCATGGAAACATTGGCCTCTCTCCAAGTTTCCACTGCACCCCACATCTGGTTAACCTCAGCAGGTTACTCACTCCTCTGAGGAATTTCCCTTCTCTGTACAATGGAGATGGTCATCCACACAGGATCTCTCAGGGAGGCTCTGGTGATTAAACAAAATAATCTCAACGAATGTGCTTGACCCATACAGGATTTAAAGCGATGACATGAGCACCGTTACTAAGATGACTAAGACTTCGAGTTGGACTCTCCCTCTCGGATCAAATCTTGCCTTTATCATTTACTTTCTGTGGGATCCTAAGACATGACACTTTCTTTCTGTCTTTGTTTCTTCATCTGGAACGTAGGAAAAATGAGTGTTATTATGAAGACGATTAGAATGTGTGTAAACGGCCTGGGCCTGGACCAGGTGCATAGTAAATGCTCAATAAATGTGTGGCGTAAGGCCGGCTGTGGCGGCTCACGCCTGTAATCCCAGGACTTTGGGAGGCCAAGGTGGGCAGTTCACTTGAGCCCAGAAGTTCAAGACCAGCCTAGGCAACATGGCCAAACTTCTGTCTCTACTAAAAATAAAAAAAAAATAAAAAATAAAAAGTACAGAAAACTAGCTGGGCATAGTGGTGCTTACCTGTAGTCCCCGCTACTCCTGAGGCTGAGGTGGGAGGATCACCTAAGTCCACAAAGTCGAGGCTGCAGTGAGCCGAGATGGTGCTGTTGCCCTCCAGCCTGGGCGCTGGGAGTGGAGCAGCCGAAGGCAGAGCCACAGCGCAGCAGTGTCGGTTAGTGGCAGACCGAGGAGCTGAAATGTCTCCACCAGGGGGCTCACGGCCATCACAGCAGCATTGCAGGGTGCAGGGCAGACGGGGAGGGGAGAGAGATGAAGTGAGGAGGGAGGAGGGGGAGGAAAAGCATGAGAGGCAGAGAACAGATGGTCGTAGGCAAGGAGGGACCCACACAGGCACAGAGACAAAAGAGACAGAGACGGAAACAGAGTACAAGGACGGGGAGAGAACGGACAGATACACAGAAAGTCAGAGAGAGATGCACAGAGACAACTGAACAGAGACGCTCAGAGAGAGACGCTCAGAGAAACACAAAGAGAGACAGCGAAAGGAGAGAAACAGAAGAGAGAGAGCTTGGCTGTCTGGGCTCGTGTATGGCCGTGGGTCTCCTTCACGCTGAGCCTCCAAGTCCTCTGCGTGTGACACTTCTAGGCCCTCTGCTTTCACGGCTTGGATCCAGGGGAAACAAAACCCATGGTGGTGGAGGTTCTGTCTGTCCTAACGTGTTTGCTCACAGGCTGCCAAGGGGAGTTGCTCCAGAGTGCATGAGAGCAAACCAAAAGCACCGGGTGTGATGCCATGGGTCTTTGTCCTCAGGCCCAAGGCCAGAGATTTGGGCTCCTCTTTGTCACTGCTTTCAGGACAGTCTCACCGGTATTAAGTTGGAAGGCATATTTTCCAGCTGTCCCTTTCTGAAATTCACGCCCATGTCATTATCTGCCCTCTGCTAATCAATGGCCAGCCTTCTTTTAAGAAGATCCATTTTTACTTGAAGTATAAAAATTTCTTTTCCCCCTGACAAAATAATCAAGGCAGTCCAGCTAATTAGTTCTGTTGCTAGGTTTCTAATTTTTCATTCTTTCATATTTATAAAGGCTGGGAGGGTTGGTGACAGTAACATAGATTTTTAAGTCATAAGGAGCTGAATCTGCAAAGCAGCTTTTCCTTCTTACTGTGTGACCTTGGGCAGATGACCACCCTAAGTCTGTTTCCTTACCTCCTCAAGCGATTATGATAAAAATACAATATGGGTAAAACACTTAACACGGTGCCTGGCACCAAGAAAGCACCTTGCAGGGTGAGGGGCAGAAGGGGGAGGGGAGAGAGAGAGAAAAGTGAGGAAGGAGGAGGGGGAGGAAAAAGAATGACAGCAGCAAACAGAGTCATAGACAAGGAGAGACACACAGAGACAAAGAGACAGAGATGGAGACAGAGAGCACAAAGACAGAACGAACGGAGAGACGATGGATCAGGCACCTTATCTGCAGAAGCTGGTCACAGTGGCACTAGTAGTAACAGCAATGGCATAAAGGCTGCTTTTTATTTATCATATAATTATGTTCATATTTCTGAATGTAGTAGAAGATGAAGCATTTAAATACATGAATGTCTTTGCTGTTTATTCATAGTATATTTCACCTATGCGTTGAAACGTTTCCTGCCTTACCTCAGGTGGGTTAGTCATTATCCATTATTCATAGGTACCAGGAATAGCACATGGAAGGGGTCTAAAGCTACACAGAGCATCGTGTTCCAAGACGGAGCTGGGACTGTGGCATGGAAGGATGTGTCTGGACGGGGCACACAACCAGGTCATACAGTCTCCCACATGCCAGACCAGCAGAGAGCTCATCTGAAAGCAATGGGGAGCCCTGGGAGATTGATAGGCAGGGGCTGAAATAAAACAGAAGAGCAGGGCAAACACGTGACAATAGTATCATTTGAATGAGGAGAGAGAAAATGCGGTGATGACAGCTGCGGTCTATGGACGTCTCTTAGGGAAGGAAACACTTCTGCAGCCATCATGGTGTCCCAGGGTAGCCACGTGGTCACAGAGCCTACACTTGCTAGCTTGACGTCCCCTGGATCACCTGGTGCCTCTGTACGTCCAGCCATCTCCCCCTCTTTATAACCTTCACATTCAGTGACACGGCCCATTCACCAGTTGACTAGCAGGAAAAGCGTGTGCCTGCCTGAATCATGCTTCCTTTGCCTCCAGGCTCTGACTCTTTCCTATTTCTGCTGCAGTCGTCTGACAGACACCCTGTACTTAAGGCAGACTTAAGTGCGTGTGTTTCTATGCATGCCTTCACATTCCTGCCTCCTTTCCTAAAATGTTCCCTTCCCCAGTACTGACACATGGCCCACCTACACTCAATTTCCAGTCAAGTTGCCAGGTGACGGGTCCCTTGTCTCCCAGGCCAAAATGACTTCTCCCTCCTTGTAACGCCCCAAACTACCAATTTATGTCCCTCATCCACTCTCGTGATGCCTTAAATTATAGTTGTTTGACCCTCACTACTAACACAAGATTCTGCAAGATGCTGAGAATCTATTCCAGTTATGTGTGTCTATCTTTTCCAATTATGTATGTTTGTCTATTCCAATGATGCATTCCAAAGTTGGGGAGATAACCACAGCATGGGTTTGGGGGACCCCCTGGGCTCACTGGACCCACTGTGAGACAGATCAAGCTAAAACTTCATTGATCACATGACTTCCATAATTTCTGCTCTGACTGGAGGACCGCAGTGACATTGTCTTGGAATTAGTGTCAGTTCAGAAGCAGTGTCCAGTAATCATAGAAACACAGTCACACTGGTAAACAGCCACAGGTCGCAGGTCTCTTTGGACAAAGCCAGAAGAAGGGTAAACTTTACACATTTTTGGCAGTGTAGCAGTGATCTTCGTGAGGGAACTCTTTCCATTCAAAGGGTTCCTGATTGCAGGCTGTATCAAGTCTGGGAATTGATTGTTTTTGTGATCATAACGTGAAATCGATTTTTGTTTATGTGCAGATATCATCATGAGACCCAGCTGTGCTACTGGATGGTTTTACCACAGGGCCAACTGCTATGGTTACTTCCGGAAGCTGAGGAGCTGGTCTGATGCCGAGGTAAGAAATCAGCAGCCTGCTTGGCCTGGCCTTTCTAGAGCAAGGGACCAGCCGGAGCCCCAGATCCCATTTGATTCGGGATCCAGGGGTCTTCCTGAGCACTCTGAAGAGAAGCCCGTTGGGTGGTGAAATGGAGAGAAGAGGGCTGTGTGTTCAACTCATTCAGTTCTGTAAGCATTGCTGAAGCAGGCGTTGTATGCCAGACTCTAGATGGGCTACAAGGATATATGGATGCATAGGAAAGAGCCCCTACCCTCAGCGAGCTCACTGTCAGTAAAGGAGACAGAAATATGTCAATCAAAGGAGAAACTCACTGAAAGGATAACTGAGCTCCTGTTCCTGCATTCTGACATTTACCAGAAAGAGAGGTGTGTACACGCACGTGGAGCAGACTCCTGGGAGCCGCTGACAGAAGGCAAAACAGCCCAAGCAAATGTGGAAACTTTTCCACTGCTCCACATAGTCCACAGACATGTCTGTTTTATTTCACTGAAGGTTTTAGGGATAATCAAATAGGCAATCAGAGTGAGTTATCTCAGCCGCGTGTGGGGAGTCGGTGCTGCTGTCTCTGTGAATTGTGATTAATTGGGGGAGCCGCGTAGGTACGTTTGGCGTGATCTGGGCCCATGTGGTCTTAGAATCCCTATATATAACTCGACAATGAAAAACAGAAAACAAACAAAAGAATGAAGCACCGACCAGATGCCAGCTACTGAAATGCAGCGTGAGTATAAACGACTTTCCAAGTTTACGCTGAGGGTAACTGACACAGCAACCCCAGCGAAGTCTGAGCTGAGTCCTGAATAATTGTATAAAAAGGAGAGTGAAACAGCAAAGAAAGAGTTTCCCAGACTCTGTCCCTGGAAAGAAAATGAGCTTGTGGAGAGGAATAGACTTTCTCTGTAAAAACAAAGAGAACAAAAAGGAAGATGTCTGGGAACTATGGGGTAGTGGAAACCCTAGTTTAAATCAAACTCTGCCACTCTTTAGGTGCCTCCGTTTACCTGTTTCCCTACTGGAAAGTGGGATAATACTTTTTACCTCATGGACTTGTCAGGAGGATTCATTAAAACAGCTTGCATAAATCACATGGTAGATGCTAATTTAGGATCTCAAGAAAGAACAGCGCCCAGGATTGACACTGAGCCTTAACAGATTTAACAGGACCAGGGTGCAGACAGGGTGCTGGGATGGCGAGCCCAAAGGGGACCCCTCCCACCCAACGTGGGTTGTGCGGCTCCCTGATTCCTCGCCAGGGTTGCTGCTGTTCTTGGCTCTTGAGACGCCTGGAAACTGATGGAGGCAACGTGAGAAGCACGTGGACATCTGATCTTGATCTTGAGAGGCAGAGGCCTGAGTTCAAGTTGCAGCTCCAGAGCTACCGTGTGGACTGGAAGGGGGGCCATCATATACATATTCCAAGCCTGTTTCCCCTTCTGACACAAGGATCTTTTGTGGCTGGTACTAAGTAGGCACTCAATAAATGCTGTCTGGTCATCTATCTGGCATGTCTCACAGACCTGAGAATTAAACAGAATTACAGCAATAGAAGCTTGCTGGTATTGTAAGTGGTTTGCAAGTGTGAGGACTAAATTATTATTAAATGGTAATCAGATCTAATCTTGGGTAAATCAGTAAAAGCAAGAATGGGAGCAGTGAAAAACCTAAGCAAACCAAACTATAATTTTATTGAATTAGTTCAGTTTCTTGTCATGTAACAGAACCCCAGAAGAGAATAAAATAAAGTTGAGAATCACACACCCACATATATAAACATTTGCCTTGTTTAACTGAATAATAGGTTTCTGGTTACAGAACAAGAATTTATCATATCATGTGTTCCATACAGTCCTAAAAAGAGTGAGTGATTTCCATTTATTCACCCACAAGAAACATTCAGATTGCATGCCCTTGGATATGGAAGAAGGTAGCACTCTTGCAAAGAAAGAAGAAAGAATTTGGGATCGATCTGCTGACATACAGGGGTAAAACAGACTGGGGATTAGAGATGAAAGTTTTATAAGTTGCAACAGAGCAGACAGTTACATATCTGCGTCTAGTGCAGAAAATAGCCCCAAATCCAACCAGATTTGGTGGCACGGCTACTGTTGAAGAAAGGCAATGGGGTGGTCACATTCATCTTTAGTCAGCAGGGATTCTACACCAGCGCAGGGAGCAGTCTCCACTCCTCTGGAGGACCACCTCACATGTTTAGGCAATTGATCCATACTTATTCAGTAGCAAGTCAAAATAAGTTACAAACCTCTGTTTACAGTTTACAATGTGTTATTCTTATGTAACATAGGGTAACAGTAATCTAGCATAGACAGTCTCCAGGCTCAGGAATTAGGCAGAGCTGGGCTCTTTTCCTGTGTCCAGTTGCCGTTTCCTGATCCTCCGTCTCTGCATCCGTAAACAAAAGGTGGGCCCCACCTCCTTAGGCTTCCGTTAGGACTGGATGGAATAGTGCCCATGAGGTGCCTGGTGTATGAGAGGCGCCCCGCAAAGAGCGTTGCCATATCGTCTGTTCTTGATGCACATTGTATTCACATTCCGATGCCTCTGAAATCAGGTGTGTGCTACAAACACACTGCGTCACAGTGTACCGTAGATTCATTGACAGTGATTTTGTTTTCTTTCTTCACGGGGCATAAAATAATGGCACATTGTACAATCAGCAGTTCCTTAGATTTGTTGAAATGGAGTATTATAATACGTTTAGTCATCATGACAGGTCCTAGGTAGCAGTAATTATTTTCCAGATGAAGAAACTAAGCCTCAGAGAGGTGAAGTGACTTGTCAAGGTCACATACACCACTGAGAGGCAAGACTGGGGCCCCAGGCATGTCCTTGGACCCTAAATCTCTGTACCGCCTCTTCCTCTGAGACCGAACGCTGTGGCAGGGCAGTTGTGTTTTCCCCCAGGGTGGCAGGAGGTCTTTTGTGGGGTTTAGAGCACGATGTGCGGAGGAAGTGGGAGCTGTGTGAGTCCCTCCTGCTTGGCACACTAGCGTTCTGAGAGGGCTGGGCTTTAAACATCCAGGCATCATTAACAGGATTTCTCCTTGCATGTAGCTCGAGTGTCAGTCTTACGGAAACGGAGCCCACCTGGCATCTATCCTGAATTTAAAGGAAGCCAGCACCATAGCAGAGTACATAAGCAGCTATCAGAGAAGCCAGCCCGTATGGATTGGCCTGCACGACCCACAGAAGGTAACCCTCAGACTTAGCCACAAAGGCCCTCTTGGGAAAGCCAGGCTGGCATTCTGTTTTTGGGGAATGACCTCTCGGCCTATAACAAGGGCACAGCGGTGGATCTTCTCCAGATATGCCTCCAACTGACCAAGACCAAGGCCTCAAGGTCAGGGGCCCGGTTCTGACCCTCAGTGGAGGATGTGATCTAAATGACTCCATTGTATAGACCTTTGTCTAATTAAGGTCCTCCTGAATCATAGAACACAAAATTACCAGCTTTCTAGACCTAAAAACTGTGTGTGTGTGTGTGTGTGTTTGTGTGTGTGTGTGTGTGTGTGTGTGTGTGTGTGTGTGTATGTACACAGACCTGTTACAAGACAGATTAATCAAATCTCCATTGGATCTTGAGTTAAAGTTGAAAGCTTTTGGCTAGCCTTTCTTTTAGATGCTGTAATGTTTTTCATGTTATCCTTGTTTTTCACTGTAACTCTGTTCTTTTCATCAATGTCTTATTGTAAGAAATGGCATGAGAGGTCTCTGTAAGGAGCAGCTGGTTGGTGAGATCTAGATATGGGGTCTTCAGTTCAGAGATTCTTGTTGGGGCTTCTTTAGTTGACTCAAACAAGCATAGGGGACATAAAATGGGAACCCCCACAATTCCTGCTTAATAAACCTGCTGAAGATACGACACATTCATTCACACTCTTTCATGAATATGTGTTTACCTTTTAGTATTGCTCTATATATGTGGCTCTTTCTCTTTTTGAACATTATATTACAGCAAAACTAATAATCCTCTGCCATAGTTGTTACAAGTATTTTATACAGTTATTTCATTTTTAATGTCATTTATTTGACAATCAGAAATCTTACCTTTTTAAGTATTCACATTGCTTTCAATCAGGACCCTGTCCTTCAGACAGAATAAATACTTACATCTATTTCTATTTTTTGCAGTAATGTTGGTAATATTTTTCTATTAGTGGTTGAGTGGAATGACTTCCTATTTTTCCTTCTTTAAGCATTTCTGTACTTTCCCAATGTTTGCAATGAAAACCACATTTTAAAGGGGCTTGCGGGGCCTTCCTTGGCTGTGACCGGCGCATTCTGAGCTGTGCGCTTCTCCACCTCCTGTTGTTTCAGAGGCAGCGATGGCAGTGGATTGACGGGGCCACGTATCTGTACAGATCCTGGTCTGCCAAGTCCGTGGGTGGGAACAAGCACTGTGCTGAGATGGGCCCCAGCAACAGTAAGTTCTAACGCACCACCCCTCACCGCTTCCCAACACACAGCTTCTGCCCTTTATCTGGTAAGAGCGAAAATGGATGCAGGGGACCCCCACCGTCCCCATTCCATACCAGCAACTCTTCTCCAGCAGGGCAGTGGCCTGTCCACAGACACTGGTCACCAACCTTGAGTCCTTTGTGACCCCTTTAAGTCTTTGCCATATCGACGTACCAGCTGTACTGTTATTTACTCAATATTTTCTTTAAATCCACTCTTTTTTTTTTTCTGAAATACACTTATTTTAAAATCATATTCTGGCTGGGCACGGTGGCTCAAGTCTGTAATCATAGCACTTTGGGAGGCCGAGGTGGGTGGATCACCTGAGGTCAGGAGTTCAAGACCAGCCTGGCCATCATGGTGAAACCCCGCTTTTTAAAAAAAATCATATTCTATACCGTGAGGGGGGTTATATGTCTCATTTTGGGAAACCCAGACCACAGTGAGTAAATATATGTGGTGGAAACAGATAAATCTCTTTTGGCTTCTTTAAAACGAGAGTTTGCCATGAGCCCTGGAAAGCTGGTCTTTGCCTGAGTTCTTCCTTCCTGTCTGTTTCCCTGAATCCTGTCCGCAGAAGCTCAGTGCAGTCTGCACACACTCACAGGAGCCTCTTCCTTCTCCCGGCCTGCTTTCATTCTTTGCCTTTATGCTCGTGAGTTAGGCTGTTCAGCCATCGTACTGGTGACGTCTCGGGCTGGACACTCCTTGGTTGTGGGCTATCCCGTACACTGCAGAAGCTTGAGCAGCATCCCTGGTCTCTACTCAGTAGGGGCCAGGAGCACTCCTCCTCCCAGGTCGTGACAACCAAAACTTGCAGTTTCTCCTGTAGGGGGCAAATGCACCCCCTGATGAGAAACATGATTAGTTAGTAATGTGGAAAACTTTAGCTATAGAAGAGCACAGAATGTTCAAGAATACTCAATGCCAAAGGTCATTCCAGTGGGTCTACTAGGCCATCATAGGGACACCAGGACCCCCTGCCAGCCAAGAAGTAGGCCTGGGATAGGCCTGGGCTGAGGTCTCAGCTATTGGGCTGGGGTAGGGAGGGACTTGGCCACCCCCAGCAGGACATAGGGGCAGTTTACTGTTGTCTGAGGAATTAACGTATAAGAAGGAAAAAGAGAGTAAGAAAACTTTCTAACAGCATGGGGCGAAGGGCAGACATGAGGAGACACACTCTGAGGAAAACCCTCAGAATTAAACAGTCAGAGAGGGACGTTCACAGACCAGTGAGAGCACAGCCGAAGTCGGCTCAGCTGGAAAGAACACAACTCAAACCAATACGTAGAGGCTACCAACAATTGGATTTTTACTCAGATCAAGGAAAACATTTGAACCGTTACACTGTTCAAACACAGAATGAGCTACCCCAGGAAGTAGTGAGAAATCTGTCACTGAAGTTAGCCAAGCAAATGTGGACGTGGTTGTTTTTATTGCAGTTGACACTTTGAAAGTGTTAGCAGAGAGCCTCCATGTCACAAAAGAATCAAATGAGGAACGTTGTAAAAATACCGATATCAGTGATTCCCTTTTCAGACCTACAGTATCAGAATCTCTGGGGCAGGTGGCTGGACCTGCTTCTGGGAGCAGTAGACCAGATGCCTCCGTAAATCCCTTTCATTCCCCAGATTCTGACATTCCCACTGGACAAAGTTCCCAAACAAAAGTCCTTTCCCTGTGAGTCAGTGATCACATCAGCAAGGCTCAGGAGCGAAGCTGCCTGTGTTACATGGATGGGAACCAGAAGCCTGAAGCTCTCTGAGAACGGCATATCTTTGGGTCCCTTCCTCTCCCATGGTTACTCACCCAGTTCCTGGCTCTCAGAACGTAGGCTCTCAAGGCAGAAAAGCACAAGGAATGAAGCAAGGATTTGAGAAGAACTGGTGGAAGGTAGAATTTAAAAGCACATCCCCCTCGGCCACATCAATGTAATGGATTTTGCCCCCCACTCAGCTTCTAATTTTTTTTAATTCAAAATGTAGAATATTAATGCCTCAATATACAGCCACGCACACATTCCTGTTCTCTCTCTGTGACAGGGCTTGTTCCTTTTTTATATCTCTTTAGAAAGAACTCCAGAGCATTGTACTATGTGTGTCCCTCTCTTACCCTTTCTGACTCTCCCCTTTATGTCAAAATGTGTTCTGTGACTCTGGAAAATTGCAGCTTGCACTGTTTCCTGACTTTTTGCTGGTCCACTTGGAGACGTTTAATCATGATAACTGGGGTTTTGCAATTTGAAAAGAAATTGTATATTCAGTATCCATTGTGGTGAAGAGCGTGGATTCTGCATTCTGAATGCCCAGTGTAGAATCCCAGCTCCTCCCAACCAAGCTGTGTGACCCTGTGCACATCTCTGACTTCTCTGTGCCTCAAATGCCTCCTTATGAAAAGGAGAACATAATCGCCCTAATCATCCGAATACCTGTAGCATGCTTATCACGTGCAAGCTGGGCTCGCAGCTCCTGTGGCCTGGAGGAGAGGGAATGCAGGACAGTCTCTCACTCACCCTTCCTTTCACCCCGCCTCTGGTGAGGAGGGAGGAGCAGAGTTAAACAGTAACCTCTCTTGCGTAGTGACTGTGGTGAGCTGTGTTGTGCTTAATTGTCTGAAGCTGCCGTTCTAGCTTATCCACAGGCTCATTGGGGGCAACTTCAAAAAAACCCACAAATGAGAGAGTCAGTCTCAAGCAGCACCCTATGCAGGCAGACTCCCCAACCTGGCTCCTGGCCCATGGCCTTGTGTTGTATTCGTTTTGCCCCATACCGTGAAAATACTCACAAGCTTGCAGGCCCCGTGTCATTTACACTCTGTGGTCTCTGTGCCGAGCCCTATGGAGGCAGGCATGAGCAGGCCCCATTCTCTGTGCCTCCCAAGAACAAGGAGTGGGAGGGGCACACCTCACCCCCTCCTCTCCCCAGGGCTCTCACCCATCCAACACACACTGGGAACAGGGCCAGATCTGCAGGACAGGGCCCAAGCAGACACCCAGCCAGGAAACAACTCTTCACTCTGCTGCAGACACCCGAGGATGTCAAGTGACGCCGTGGAGCTTGGTTTCTGGGAGGGAAATAGTCGGATCTCACCTCAAAAATACTTCAGTCCTTCAAAATGCCACCTCCGCCTTGCGCTCAGCCTTTTTTCATAAGCAGATGGCCTGTTGGGATGTGACTGGCTTTAGAAGCTTTCAGTTCATTGAACATGGAACAGGAGCTTCTTAGAGCCTCAGCTGTGGACTTGAGGAAAGGCTACCCTCAGGTCCTCACTGCATCCTGCTTCAACACAAGAGCCCCTCATTCTCATTTGATTCATGTCAACCCCTGCCTTCCCTCAAAAGCAGTGCTGGAGTGGAGCTTTTGCCACGGTGTATGACATTTAAAGTGTTTTTCTCTCACTGGCAAAGTTAGTATCTGTATTAAGTTTCTCCAGGGAAACAGAAGTAATTGAATGTATATATAGAGAGACAGAGATTTACTCTGAGGAATTGGCTCATGCAATTGTGGGGGCTGTCAAGTCTGAAATCCACAGGGCAGGCCAGCAACCTGGAAATTCTTGCAGGAGTTAATGTGTGGTTTTGAGTCCAGAGATGGTCTGGAGGCAGAATTTCTTCCTCTTTGGGAGACCGGTCTTTTCTGTTAAGGCCTTAGGTTAATTGGAGGAGGCCCACCCATGTGATGGAGAGTCATCTGCTTTACTCAAAGTCTACTGAGTTCTAAATGTTAATCACATCTAAAAAACACCTTCACAGCAATCAAACAACTATACACCATAGCCTAGTCAAGTTGACACATTAAGTCAACTGTCATAATCGTCTTATCTGTGACTCCAAAAAAATGTCCAGATAACTCTGGCAAGCTCAGCACAAAACAAAATGGATTTAAATGTCTGTTTATTTTCTTACAGACTTTTTAACTTGGAACACCAACGAATGCAGCAAGCGCCAACACTTCCTGTGCAAATACCGACCATAGAGCAAGAATCAAGATTCTGCTAACTCCTGCACAGCGCGTCCTCTTTCTTTCTGCTAGCTGGGCTAATCTGCTCATTATCTAAGAGAGGAAACCAAGCAAAATAAGAACGTTAAGGCCCCTATTGCACTGGCTTTTTTAGGTTTAGAGACAGAAACTTTAGCATTGGCACAGTAGTGACTTCTAGCTCTAAATGTTCACCCTGCCATCCCTTTCCACAGTACCCTTCTTTGTGGGAGTTGAGTCAGGGTGGTGGGAAAAATTTTAGAGGAAACATTATAAAGGTAGTTATAGGAAATAGTCACAAACCTTCTTGGAAGGCCAGGGGGGTGGGGTTGCATAGCTTCAATAAAAGGTTTGGCCAAAGGCAGCTGAATTCTTTAAAAGCTTACGGTGTTAATACATAGGAATGTAAAGGAGTTTATCTAAATAGCTTGTTTACTCAGGTGGGCCAACCTTTGATCTTATGTGCAAGGAACTGCTCTCTACTCAGGGAGTTGGCAAAATTAATTACCCATTAGCGGTGTTTGGTCAAGACATTTGTCATTTAATCTGTACTAAATAAGTGTGAACTTCACTGACTAGTCAGGGTCATGGCTGCTAACTCATGACCAGACCCTTCTCTGGGTGTCTGTAAGCTGCCCAGACCCCTGACCCACTCTTCCGCTGGTTATTTGTGTCTGAGTGCATCTGCATTTGTTCATCCATTGCTGGGTCAGGGTCTGTGGGTCAGACCTGACACTTCTTCCCTCCTCCCCTGTCTCTGGCTGTCTCGAGCAGTTAGAAAAGTGCTTCTCCAGCCAGTGAAACAGCTGGGTCTTTGGCCATAAGAAGTAAAGACTTGAAGGCAGGAGGAAGAAACTCAGGAGTAAGCTTCTAGCCCCTTTCCGCTTCTACACCCCTCTGCTCTCTCTCCATTGCCTGCACATGCCCAGTCAATTCCTGCTCGTTTTTCTTTTGGCCATGGGAAGGTTTGCCAGTAGAATCCTTGCTAGACTGATGTGGGCTATACATTCATTTAATAAACTGTCTTATGAATAAGGGGTTGCTGTGTTCCAGTTCAGTAGTGGTAAAAGTGGAAAAGTGAAATAAGACCAAGAAATACAGCCAAGTGCTTCTTCATCTCCTTCATCTGAGTCTCTGCCTCCTCTATCCCTGCCGTCGCACTGGTTCAAGGGGAGGAGAGCTGCAGGTGACATGCCTGCCAACTTCTGAGCGGGGTTGGGTGAGTGGGTGCTATTTAATTGTGAGTGCTTCTTGACTTATGAGGGGGATGACAGTCACAGCAGGTATACTAGAGCTGACCTGGATTCTGGACACTCATCTCCCCCACTGCCACTGATAACCTGTGTGCCTCGTGTGACTCTCTGTGCTCTGTGAGGCTCATAATGGCTTATGTTGTGGTTACTTCAATCATGAGGAGGTAATTTTGCTGGCAAACAGATATAGGACACCCTAGGTCATGAATCTGAATTGTCATGTAAAAAGAAACAAATATGGACTCAATGATTATAGCATATGACTGTGGTATGATCGCATTCACATTCCTTAAAGGAAAATACCACCAAAGGGAGAGATCACGCAGTTCAGACGTGCAGTTCAGGCTATGGGAATGGCCACTTGCTTCATTCACGATGTACTGCCAACTGGCAAGCACAACAAGTCTTATTCCTTAGTCTCAGAACACTCCTCTCTCATCCTAGCAGGCTAAGACCAGCAATTGAGTACTGGCTAAAAGAAAAGTAGAAAGAAAGGGGAAGTGGAAGACATGGAGCCTCAGCCCTAATCACTTAAACTTTCACTCTCCTTTCCTTTCTTCTTCCTTCCTCCATCACACCCTTGTCATTCTTTTGGTTGTCAAAGATGAAAACACCAGAAAAAAATGTGTTGCTCCTCTCAAGCATAAAAAGCCCAGTCAACCCAAAAGATAAATCTCCTAATAGCGCTATTTCAGAACAAGTGACAGGTGAAAGGAAAAGGCTCATTCTTTCAAAGCATATAGTTAGCTTCAGCAAAACTGCAACCACCAACGCCCAAGAGGGTTCTGGGTAAGTCACTGTCAGAGAAACAGACAAAAGTGTCAGACTGCATGATAGAGATGATAGATGAATTGGGAACGCCAGACCGTTGAGAACAACAGTAGAATCCTGTTGGAACAAGTGCCAGATTCTATAGATTACCTGTAGGAACTGGAAAAAAAAAATGCAAAGGAAACATGGCTGAGAATATTTCATAAAGGTAGAAGCTCTCAGTTTTTTCTGACTGTGGCACATGTGAAAGTTAAAAAAAAAAACACCATGGCCCACCTCCCTCTCCTGGTTTATTTGTTTTTTCAAGAGGAAAAATACCTCATGATAGCAAATAAGTAGAGATGAACAAAATAAAAATTCAAAAAATTATAGATAGCAAATCTACTAAGATAAAGTAAAATCTAACAGTCATTCTGTAAATATATAAAAATATTTACAATATATTTAAAAATAGTTCCAACTGAAAAGCATCAACAACTTAAGACCATCTTGGTGATATTATAATAACAAGGCTCCCTCCCTGAAATTGCTGAAATGCTGACAGTCTGCATGTGCACATATGCTGGGAAAGGCGTGGATAAGCAGTCACCCACCTTACTGGAAGGTTGGGATAGTCTGGAAATCTGGGATAGAACTCTCATGATTTTTGTTTATGTATGTAAAATGGTAGTAATCCTCAATAATTCACTGAGTGGATATATCATTCAATACATTCTCATTGAATGTATGCTGTGAGCCAAGAATTCATTTTAGAAGCTGAGAATCCATCAGTGGGCAAAAGAAGTAAAATTCCTTACAATGGTAGAGTATCCATTTCATCAGGGACGGGGAGGGGATGTAGACAAACAGCAAACTAAATAAGGAGAGGACATACTGTGAGGTGATGATAAGACCTGTGGTGCAAACACAAAGCCAGGAGGCGCAGAGGGAGCAGGTGTGTGCTGGCGTGTGTATGGAATATGTGCTGTGATTCCCCCACTTCTTTGGTCACAACTGACAGCCAGACTGCTTCAGCATAAAAAGAATGTATTGGTTTATGTCACTCCACGGTCCCTAAGTCTATTTGAGCTTCAGGTATAACTTGACCAACAGGTCAACAGAGTTACCAGATGGGAGTTTTTCTCTATTTTGTGGTCGTTTTTGCTGGGGATTAGCTTCATTATCTGGCCACATCTAGTGCAAGATGGCTGAAGCCATCTCATCTCTATCAGGAAACAGGTCCACAACCCTTAAACGAGAGCCTCCAAATTAAGCCTCATTGGCCAGCAAAAACCCTACATGAGCTATGTGCTCATTCTCCAACCAATTAAAGTAGCGAGCAGGATGGGATATGACGATTAACTTAGCTAAGTAATCAACTGTAACAACTCTTTTAAAGCCCAGGAGTTTACACAGCTTCACCTGAAGGGCAGGACCCTTCTCATCCATATGGTGCCTTTGTAGAAATTGAAAAAAAAAAAAAAAAAAGATGCCCCTTCTTCTTAAGAAGACATGGCCCCGTGGACTCACAGAATGAAGACAGGCTAGAACGTAGCCCCTTCTTGCCCTCTGAGTTGTGTACTCTTGTGTAGTGTGCATCCTATTCTGTGGCCCACTGTACATGGAAGGGAACTAGGGCAGAGTGGTTCTCAATCCAGGAGACCAAGGACCATGCTCTGGGAAATTTTATCCTAAGGCCCTACTGCAAGAATTAAGAACCAGGAGTCAGTCTCAGCTGAGACTGGAGAAGCACATGATGCGAGAAAGAGAAAATTCAGGTAGGTGTTGTTTCCTGAGCTGTGTCCATTTATATGACTCCAGCTGCAGCCCATGGCAGTTTATTATGATGGGGAGGGCAATGCTTTAAGAGTTAAGCCACACTGGGTGGCGATTCCTCAATGATCTAGAAATAGAAATTTCATTTGACCCAGCAATCCCATTACTGGGTATATACCCAAAGGATTGTAAATCATTCTATTATAAAGACATATGTACATGTATGTTCATTGTGGCACTGTTTACGACAGCAAAGACCTGGAACCAACCCAAATGCCCATCAATGACAGACTAGACAAAAAATAATGGCACATATACACCATGGAATACTATGCAGCCATAAAAAACAATGAATTTGTATCCTTTGTAGAGACATGGATGACTCTAGAAACCATCATTCTCACCAAACTGACACAAGAACAGAAAACCAGACAGCACATATTTTTACTCATAGGTGGGTGATAAACAATGAGAACACTCGGGTACAGGGAAGGGAACAACACTAACATGGTGAGGTGGGGGGTGGAGGGGAGGGGAGGGGAGGGACAGCAAAGGGGGGCGGGGAGGATGGGGAGGGATAGCACCTGGGGAAATGCCTGATGTAGGCGATGTGGGGTGGTGGGGGAGCGGCATGGGGATGGAGACAGCAAACCATCATGGCATGTATGTGCCTATGCAACAATCCTGCAGGATGCAGGATGTGCACATGTACCCCAGAGCCCAAATACAATTAAAAAAAAAAAAAGAAAAAAGAAAATGTGGCACATATACACCATGGAATACTATGCAGCTATAAAAAAGATGAGTTCATGTCCTTTGCAGGAACATGGATGAAACGGGAAGCCATCATTCTCAGCAAACTGACACAAGAACAGAAAATCAAACACCACATGTTCTCACTCATAAGTGGAAGCTGAACAATGAGAACAAATGGACACAGGGAGGGGAACATCACACACTGGGGTTTGGGGGGCAGGGGGCTAGGCGGGGAATTGTAGGGGGTGGGGGGATTGGGGAGGGATAGCATTAGGAGAAAAAAAAAGTTAAGCCACACTGGAACTGACTGACCCTGCCTCAGACTGGCTGTGTCATTGAGCCTACAGTGTCTGAGCCTTTGTTTTCTTTTCTCCAGGATTTGAGGATTAAATAAGATATGTGAAGCATTTGGAATGGGGCCTGCTGTAAGTGCTTAGCACATGTTACTGTTACCATTTTACAAGTTTGTGATCTCAAATACATGTCTCTCTTCCAAATCAGTTTATTTATCTATAAAATGGGGGCCTTAAACTAAATTCCAGTGCTTATAGGGTTTAGTTAGATGTGAACAAGTGACGTGGTCTCGTGTAGGGCCATTTGAACTGGGAAATGAGCACGAAATCAATTTCTTTCAAACACGTGAGAGTCAAGCAAAACAGGTCTGTTGACCTTTGCCCATGGGGCCAGTTGACAACCCTGGAACAAACAATCCCTTCCAGCTCCAGCATTATTTTGTTCTGTTTATATCTGGATCATATACTCCCCTCAGTCAAGAATCAGTCTCCAAAGTCAGTGAGAACTTTGACAAAAGTAAGTGAATATGAAACAAAAGAATATGCACAGTAATAATGGATTAGATATGTATCCTCCGTGAGGACAGTCATTTCAGGCTATGTTGGAACCAAGGAACAGACTGTATAGACATATGAGCAGGTTATGAAAATACAAGTTTATGAACAACCTAAAGGCTCCACCCTGCAGCCCAAGGATCCCATGAAGACGGCTGGAGAGGAAATTTTAGGGACAAAGAGGAGCAAACAGGAATCTGCAGGTGGAAGCTTGGATTTAGGAGTAATGACTTTGACTTTAAATCTTTTTAAGGTTCTAGAATGTAGTATTGTGTCACAATAAATTTGTCCCTGAGTGATTGATCATATCTTATTTAAAAGTATTATTACTTCCAAAAAATTAAGAAGACAGAAATTAAGCCAATGAACAGGTCTAGAATCTGACAACCTAGAAGCAGGTGGCTAGGCATGGTGGCTCATGTCTGTAATCCCAGCACTTTGGGAGGCTGAGGCAGGCGGATCACCTGATATCAGGAGTTCGAGACCAACCTGGCCAACATGGTGAAACCTCGTGTTTACTAAAAATACAAAAGTTAGCCGGGTGTGCTGGTGGGTGTCTTGTAATCCCAACTACTCAGGAGGCTGAAACACGAGAATTGCTGGAACCTGAGAGGCAGAGGTTGCAGTGAGCCCAGATGGCATGAATGGACTCCA